TATTTTTCTTTCTTCAAAGAATTCTGAGAGCAGCGAGTTATCCATCATCCTGTCAAAGCAAGTTGTATGTAGTAGTTTGGATAACGTGTGTGGTTTTTCTTTTCTTCTACCCAGGTGCCATATTGGCCTGGTTATCTTCTTTGTCTCTACTCAAACACAGAGGAGACGCAGAAAAGTTCATTTTTACCAGCTGCCAACACTCTGTTTCCAGCAAGAGAATCCGATAGTTTGCCATATCGTTAGCCATTCAGATATGTTTTGCCAAAGGGGAACGTTCAACAGATTCGTGATTATTACTCACTTGCAATATTAGTGAAAACATTTACGACTTTCCTACTTGCATTCTCTGCTGAATCATAATTCATTTGTTGCTGATTCAATAAGGTCATTGCAAATTCGACGACTGTAAAATATGCCTCGTTAAACAACTTGAAGTTAGTCTATATTTCTGAGATGAGGCACTATGTATATTATTTCTATTATTCGGACTATTCTCCTCATCTTTGTCGCCATATTTATTACAACGTTTCGGTCGTTGTACGCTCCGGCCTTCTTCAGGTGGTTGGAATGTCGAACTGAACACTTTATTTCGATCACTGGGGTAGACTGTTCTAGTTCCAAGTTATCAGTTATCTCCTGTTAATTTCCCTCTGAAATTAAAAGTTCTCCACTGCCTTAACCGGGTATTGAACTCACACTCTTTGGGTCCTGTCACTGGATCTAACCAACGCCTTTATCCACTGCGCCATATGTTCTTGCGGGTATGAATTTCTGGGTATTATAAACCTAATGCCTTCAGCAACCATTTTTACCAGTGCTCATATTGCAATTTTTGCTGTTATCATTATATGTTTTTACCAGAGCTCATATCGCAACTTTGTTGTTATCACCCTTTTCTTTGGCACTCCTTATTACTGGTTCCCATATTGTATTTATTTCTATGCTTGATCGGCTCAGGAGATTTTTGTGGCCTAGCATATGTGCCGGAGCGTACAACGGCCGAAACGTTGTGATAAATATGGCGACAAAGATGAGGACAATAGTCCGAATAATGTAAATAATGAACTTGAGGTTAATAAATTTAAGAAAATATTGGATTAATAATGATACATATGAATGCAACTCATTATGTAAAAAAAGTAAAAGGATGCAAGAGAAAAGATTCAAAATTGTCAATGTTTTTTTTTTCTTTATTTCACTGAATCGTTAAATAATCGAGCTTAACAACTTTAACAAAATATTGGATTATCAATGATACATATGACTGCAAGTCATTATCTAAAGAAGTAAGACGGTACAAGTGAAAACTTAAAAATTGACAATGTATTTCATTTCACTGAAGCAGACGTTAAATACATGACCTTTATCGCTCACTTGCTTGCTTCTTTTCCTTCTGTATTTATTTACTTCTTCTGTTTCTTTCCTTTTATCCAGTTCATACACTTCTCATTCTTTTTTGAACAGGGGTAGAGATTTATCATTTGTTTCCAGTTTAGGATTGGATTTCCGGTCCCTTATAATATCTACTTCAAGACTATCATTCTAACGCCTCTGTCTATGCCCTGAAATCTTATTTACTATTTATATACTTCTTTTTTTTCCTCAATAGGAGTAGATAGGTTCGCCTATCGCCCGGTTCGTACTTCTCCGCGCTCTATTGAACAGGATTGTTTGTTGTTTAAGTTTAGGTTTCCGGTTCCCTCTAAAGTCTTTTTCCTTCTCTTTCACTTCCGGGCACCTCTATAAAGATCTTCTACCTGACTTAGCCACGCTTTTGTTGCAAATTCGATTCTGAGTCGTAGCATTTGCGATGTATTATTTGTTATATAGGAATAAAGTGTCGCTGCCGACACTTGCGTTTGAACATAGTTCGCCAGTGAGCAAACGCAGGCGATCCCATTGTTGAATTATGTAGACCACGTGATCATAGAGGCAACGCATATATGTAGGAAGTAGCTGGCGTAGATCGCCATTTCTTCTCTATCCTCTATTACTATACGGATCGCTATTTCTACTCTATCTTCTATTACTATAAGGAGCTCTATTTATACTCTATTAATATACGGATCACTATTTCTATTCTATCCTCTATTAATATACGGATCACTATTTCTACTCTATCCTCTATTACTATACGGATCACTATTTCTACTCTATCCTCTAATTATATATGGATCACTATTTCTACTCTGTCCTCTATTACTATACGTATCACTATTTCTACTCTATTAATATACGGATCACTATTTCTATTCTATCCTATATTACTATATGGATCACTATTTCTAGTCTATCCTCTATTATTATACTGTTCACTATTTCTATTCTATTCTCTATTACTATACGGATCGCTATGTCTATTCTATCCTCTATTACTATACGGATCGCTGTTCTCTACTGTATTCACTATACTATTTTTCTATTCGGATCACTATACAGGTTACTTATCAAGCGAGTATTATCGAGCAAGTATTATTAGTGCGAGTGGTATTCAAATGCGAATTGTTCAACGACGTACTATAGTTATATCTGCGATTACAAAGTCTCTACTACAACGAGCTTTTCGAAAGTGTATTCGTCGACATCACAAAAGTGGTAACGAGTGTTCGTTGACATTACACAACTATTCCTTGATCTTATTGTAGCCTCGCCATGGAGCAATGACTAGCAATCGTGTCTCACACAGAATCACTACAGCGAGTGCTTCGTACTCGCGGCATTGGGCCTGATGAGTAACTATGAATTAACAAGAATTACTGCCACATGCCGAACGTAAGGCAATGGTTATATGGTGTGTCACGGAGGTCACACGACAATGTAAAGAATTCGATATTTACTGGGCCTCCTGCTTAATATTTTGGTTGATTTCATATATCAAGGAGGATTATTTAATATACAAATCGGTGTTGTTTTTTTTTATTTATTTTTAACTACATTTGAGACTATAATCATTTACTAGGTCGTTTCCATATATGAGTCTACAAATATTTATGTGGTTCAGGGATGAGTCAATATTAGTATTTTACACACGTGTCTTTAAGTATTTTCTTATTTCAAAAATAGGTAAACATTGGTGGCATATACTTGAGTTTGTAAGTATTTTCTTGGTTCGAGACTCCGCCCTGAGTAAGACGATAAACTACGCCCGACATCAAGGCCTCTGATCAGCAGGTTTTGAGGATCGTGAAACCACCTCTTAATTGCTACTGTTCCCAGGTCCACCTTGGCCCGGGGTGGTAGCACCCGTTAGGGTCCCAACTATTGGCAAATAGTTAACCCCCAAACTGGCTTCAAAACACTATGAAAGTGTTAAAATAGGTTTTAATAACAGAAATACTTTGTAAAAAATTATTACTGACAATACATTTTTTTAAAAAACAAATATTACCAGCGAAGGAAAAAGGAAAATTCTTGCCAGAAATAGATTGTTGAAAGAAAAAATATTACAAGAAATAGATTTTTGGAAAAAGAATATTACCGACAATGAAAATTTTGTCGGCATTAAATAACAAATTGAGGTTGATATGCTGTAAAATAAACCAAACCAAACCTTGGTTCGAGACTAGGTAAATATTGGTGGTTTTTATTTGAATCTGTAAGTATTTTCTTGGTTAGGGAATGGGTAAATACAGGTTGATATTCAATTGTGTATGTAAGTAGCTTCGTCCACCGTAAGAAAAATTGGCTCCCTGTGCCGTGCCTAGAAAATTTTCTCGTCGGAGTCGATCCTTCAAATTTACAAATCAACCATTCGACCTTTATTGCTGCTATATATGGTCTGAAGTCTCTTCTGTTTGTCTCAAGGTCCTTGATAAAATCCAGAGACGGATATGCAATGTAATTGGCCCTGATCTGGCATCTCGTCTGCAGTCGCTCTCTCACAGACGTGCCGTCGACTCCCTCTGTCTTTTTTACAAATACTTTCACGGTAACTGCTCCGATGAGCTGCTTTCGCTGGTTCACAGACTTCATGAATTCAACTCGGTTTGCATCTCGCTCTCACCCTTTCACTGTCGAAACTGTTAAATGTAGCCGTCTCCAATAGCTTCATGTCTCGCACCTCTCGCCCGTGGAACTCCCTCTCCTTTTCTTGTTTCCCTGATAGCTATAATCTCCAACTATTCAAATGTAATGTCAATCGACCTCTCCAGATGCCCTGATCCATACCCTATCCTTCTCCTCATCCTTTTCTCTATCACTCCTATTTGCTCTCGTTTCAAACCCTCTGTAACCCCTTGCGTGCTCGTGGCTTCCCGCCTTGCATGGAGTGAAACGCTTAAAAAAAAAAAAAAAAAAAAAAAAAGAGAAAAAAATAACTTTTTTTTTTCGGAAAGAGGAAAATTTTGAATGTTTCATATTTGAGCTTTAAGCATTTTCTTCTTTCTGGATTAGTTAAATATTGCTGGTTTAGATTGGGTTGCCAGATAAATTCGTTTTTTTTTTTTTCAATCTTATTTGAATTAACACGCAACATATTTTCCTCTAGTGTTTTATAGTTATGTTACCTCTATTCTTCAATAACTTTTGTTTATCATTTTAGAAATTTGGTTGAATTTTAAGACTATTCAAGCATATGTAGCTCCAAAGAGACGAAAGGGATCATTTTCGGTCGTTGCTTCTCTTCACTTTCAATAAAGGCTCCAACTCTGCCAAATCTGCTGGAGATATTTGTCTTGTGTTGGGAGAAGACCGATATTACAGGAAGAATTTCACAGAAATGGGAACTTCAACGACACATTCTCTCCGTCTTCTTCAGTTCAACGTGGACATTGAACCCGTTCATCTACGAGGATCCACGCCAATCCACAAGGAATTGCTCCAGCTGATTAGATGCTCTCACAGTGGAGTCACCCGTCACATTCACTCGATAGATAAGGTTCCAAAACTCACCTCATGTGTGTCACAAGCTTGAACGAAAGTGCTCCTAAATCGCTGCCAGTTTGCTCGCAATACACAAGGCTTCCCGTGGGCACAAAAAGAGAATTCTTTGACGCATGAGCTTACGGCCGTATCACATTGAAACACCGGTCCTCGTCCACTCACCGAAGTTAAGCAACGTCGAGCATGATTAGTAATTAGATGGGTAACCGCATGGGAATACCAGGTGCCGTAACCTTGAATGTGTGGTTGGTTTAATTTATAACAGCTCAGAATGAGAAATCGGAGATCCGAGTTCGACTTCCCGTCGGGTTCGTTATATTTATTTACGCCCATATATCCTATGGAAAGTTGAGGAATCCCCCTCTTCCCCCAGCCATGGGTTAAATAGCTTGTTTATGAAAATTATTATTATCTCCAAAAAACTGATAATACTATATACTATATTCGACTGCGAAAAGAAAATAATTATTTCTACAAGCCAAAATTGGCTTTAAATAACCTACAAAAGGTTGATAAAATGTAAAAAAAATCCTTTAACGTATCGTCACCGGCGATGATTGGTTTGGTTTGGTTTGGTTATTTTTGCTTAGCGGCATATCAACACCTCTATGGGTTATTTAATGTTGAAATGTAAATATTTTGTAACCAATGTTATGATATCAACTCCATATATTTTGAACACAACGTTATGCCTTCAAATATAGATATTTTGTACATAATATTATAGTTTCAGTGCAAACGTATGTTTTTGTATAAATAATTTATAGATGATAAAAGTATTGTTGATAATTATTTTGAATAAATTGCTGGTAATATCATTAAGAAATATGTTGGTAATTTTTTATAAAAATGTCTTGGTATTTTTACAATAAAAAACGTTTATTTATACTTACCTAGTGTTTTCATTTAGTTTGGGATTTCACTATTTTCCCATAGCTGGATACCTAACAAGTGCCACCACCCCGAGTCAGGGTGGGACTAGGAACAACAGCAATTGAGAGGTGGTTCCACGCCACTCAAAACCGCCAATCTTCCGACCAGAGAGGCATTGCTGCCGGATGTAGTTTATCGTCATACTCGACTACATCCATGTCATACAATTGTATTTGGTGGCATTTGCAAGGGCTAATCAACTACGAAAATGTCAGAAAACAATCACTCCATCAATGCAGAGCTTGACCTTCAGCAAATGCACCGGTTCAACGAGGCAATCCAACTGAAACGACCTGGCTAGCGACACGGGGTACTTACTGAATACAACAACGCACACCCAAAGTCGCTAATTTGACCAAAATACAAAAAAAATGGTTGGGAAGTTCTAACGTAACCACCGTATTCACCTTCGGATTATTCTTACTATTTTTGGTCGCTTTCCAGCAGTCTACGAGGAGTTTCGGTTAACAACGACGTGGAGTTGAAGAAGTAGCTCGGTGAATTCTTCGAGTGATTTCGACCATCAAGGCATCGAAAAACTTGTAAAAAAATAGGCACAAGGTGGTGAAAAATGAAAAAGAATATATCATTGATTGGCTAAGTAAAATTATGGATGAACATTAGGATTAAAATAAATCGAAACAACGAATTTATCTGACAATTCAATATGTGTCTATAAATATTTATGTGGTCCATGGATGGGCAAACATTCGTTGTTTATGTTTGAATCTGTAAGCATTTACTTGGTTCGAGAATATGTAAATATTATTGGCTTATATTTGAGTCGATAATCATTTACTTTAGGTACCTCTACTTTTTCGGGATAAATTTTCGATACTTAAGGTTTAAAATAAATTTTTTAAAATGAAAAAGCATTCTTGAAGATTTTGTTTTAGCTTTAATTGAAAGCCAAAGGATTAAATTTATGATTCCCAGTAAGTAAAATATTCTGGTGTATTTAAGATAGAAATTATATAGATTGGAATGTCAAATTTAATTTCGATGTTTTAAAATTTTCTTAAAAGCGGCCATTGTCTAAATTTTAAGAAATTTGTAAACAAAAAAATTTATTGATTTTAAAACTCATCCAAATATATATATATATATATATATATATATATATATATATCTGACACGTTATTTGAGTAAAATTAAAAAATTTAAAGTTAAATTAATCTGATTTGAAATAAATATTACTTATAGCATAAAAACTAATATACAACCATTTCTTAATGAGTGGTCCTGTTTATCTGAGGTGATGATTGATGGACGTTTGAGTGACCAAGCGATAACAGTTAGTATGGTTGACTAGAATTGACATAAAATTTATGAAATCTAAGTAAACGAATTTTTTAACTACCTAGTAATTTTTATAAATTAACATATTTTCTGCAATTATGTAATAATTTATTGACTTTTATTTCCATTTCGAAATGCTTTATGCAAAAATAAAAAAAATTAATTACTATAAAATTTTCTTAAATTAATTTCTCTGTAAAGAGACAAAACTCTTAGATCAGGTGACCTTTTCATAATAATGTCATGTCTAGCCTTTCATAAATGGAAAAAGGGAAGAAATTAAGTAAAAAAAATAAAAAATAAAAAAATATTTTAAACATAGAATAGTGTAACCACGTTTCAATAAGAGGTAAATATTAGTGGCTTATATTTGAGTTCATAGGTATTTGGTTCGAGAATAAGTAAATATTGGTCATTTATATTTGAGTCTATAAGCAATTACTTGTTTCGGCAACAGGTAAATGTTTACATATATATATATATGTATGTATGTATATACGCGTCTGTAAGTATTTTTTGGTCCAGAAATAGGTAAATATTGCTGATTAATGTTTGTTTCTTTAAGCATTTTCTTAAATATATATATATATGTGTGTGTGGGGGGGTGTATGTGAAAAGTGTATGTATAGAAATATAAATAAATATATATATATAAAGGATCGTTCGGTTGGCAAGGTTGAAGTTTATAAGCAGTAAATTCAACCAATTCAACAGTCAAGGCACGTCAGCGTAAATGACGGTTCCGTATAGGATGCAGGTTCGAATCCTGTCAAAGGACGAATATTTTCTATGAAAATTTCTCGGACATTCAGGCCGGTAAATGTTATTTAATACTGTTTATTATAAACCCGAGCATTTACTTAAATACTTGAATCTATAAAAAATGTCTTTAATATATATATATATATATATTTGCGTCTGTAAGTATTTTGGGATCCATAAATAGGTAAACATTGCTGATTAGTATTTCTTTCTTTAAGCATTTTCTTGGTTTGGGAACGGGCAAAGATTGTTCGTATATATTTTTGGTCTCTGAATATAAACTGATAAGAGTACTCTGATTAGAATGCTAACTTCTCTTTCGTTGATGCTTGAACTCTGATAATAATAATAATAATAATATTCACTAATAATATTTTCTCTCTAGACATAGACAGGTTCGCCCATCGTCCGGTTCACGCTCCTCCCCGTTTTTTTTTTAACATGTGTTTATCCCTTGTATCCTGCTCAGGATTAGGTTTCCAGTTCTTTCTAAAGTCTGTTCCTTCACTTATGTTTTCCCAATCGCAATAATCTTGACCTCTTCAAATCTAGAGTTATCCGTTATCTTTCCTACATAGCCCTATGAATTTTCCTTCTTTCTTTTTCTTACAGTGACCCTCTACCTTGAGTGGTTCTTGGGCCTTGTATGGCGTGAATATTATTAAAAAAAAAGAAGATCCAATATTCCACTGTGAAAATATATCAAAATTCAGCTAATAACATTGTGTCAGGATACGGGATTATGTGAATAATTGTTCGAAAAACAATTATCCAAAAAACATTTATTCGAATTGTAAATTGTTTGAATGAAAATTAATGGAAAGGGCAATTATACTAAATGATACGAAAAGCACCGACCAATTATTGACCGCGGTGTACAGTGGCCTAAGAAAAGTTTTTAGCCAGGAGAAATCAACTACATCCAATTTCAAAATTTAATTACATAATCCCAACTCAACATAAACAAACAGTATTTGGAACTAGTATGGAGTAGGTTCTCCATTTGCTAGTTTTAGTGCTTGTCTTCGATTTTTCATGGATTTGATCAAGTTATCAACGATCTTCTGATTTATATTTTGCCATTCCTTTAGCAATGTTTCTTTACGGGTTGCCACTGGTGTGATTTTGGTTGCTCCAGCCCAACGGTACGAAAACAATCGACCAATTATTGATCACGTTGTATATAGACGGAAGAGAATTGACTAACTCTCTAAACTCATACAAGCAAGACATGGATGGAAAAGAATGTGTTGAACACAGCATTCAGGTGAACACGTCAAGTGCTCTCAACCCTATCGAAAAATTTTTTCGAAAATAATTATTCAAAAAACATTTATTCGAAATGTAAATTGTATTAATGACAATTAAACAAGAGGACAATTATACTAAATGATAATTATTCGAAATACCTATATTTGAAATATATGTGGTTTTGCTTTGAGAAAGTCTTGAAGGATGGCATAGGGAGTTTTTTTGCAGCAAATGTTATCCCAACATCCCACAATATGGAAATTCTTAGACGCTCTTAAAAGAGAACAGGACTTGGATTCATATTGCAAAAGTGTCATTTAGGAAGAAAATGAATAACTACCGACAGCGAGGTTCGAACGTGACACTCTGTATTTATAAATATATGTTTTCCGCCAGGTGTATAAATAACGGTGTCAGGCTACTGACTGGTGTGATTATTGAGTTATTATTGATGTAGAAAATATCATTACCTCGCCTCACCTTCATCTTCAATTTCATGTCTGTTTTCTTTCTTCTATTCATGATCACTGAGACGTAACCTGTAAACAAACTTTCATTCAATTCGACTTTCACTGGCGCTAGAGTTTGTAAACTTAAACTGAGGCATATCGAGAAAATTATTCGAAAAACATTTGTTCGAATTGAAAATTGTTAGAATGAAAATTAATGGAAAGGACAACTATACTAAATGATACGAAACGCATTGACCAATTATTGAACGCGGTATAGAGTGACCTAAGGAAAGATTTTGGCCAGGAGAAATAAACTACATCCAATTTCAAAATTTAATTACGTAATCCCAACTCAACAAAAATAAAAAGTATTTTGAAACTAGTATAGAGTTGATCTTCCATTTGCTAGTTTCAGTGCTTGTATTCGATTTTTCATGGCTTTGATCAAATTATCAACGATCTTCTAATTTATATTTTGCCATCCCTTTAGCAATGTTTCTTTATGGGTTGCCAGTAACGGGATTTTGGTTGCTCC